GCAAAAAATAATAAGCGAATCCAATTCGAAGATTGAGGAACAACACAATCTGCAACATTTAACTGAATTAGATAATTTTAGCTTAGCTTATACTGTGCCATTATACATTAAACGCGCATTCGTAAACGTATTTTGCGCACACGCATATTCGTAGCCGTAAAGCTCTTACGCGCATGCGTCAAATGCGAACGCAAACGCAGAAAGTTTGTAGCTTTGAGGTCCGGATTATGGCTGTCCGAATTAATGACTTTTTACTGTATTAATCTTTTTGTAACATTCAGAAAGGATTCTGTTTTAGACATGTTTTGGCAATCTGAAAATTGCAGTAACCTGGAGCACTTGGACCTTAGCTATCCTATTAGTTACTAATAAAAAAAAGCAAAGAAAATACTCTTAGTATATACTCTATGCAACACCCTAAGAAAGAAAGTAAATAGCATAAATGATTTTTTGAATAATGATGATGTGCGGGTTGGATTAATTAGTAAACAATATAAACACATGCTTACAGGTCTCCAAGGCGAAAGTCGGAGGAAATCAGAATTTATCTGCCTTTTTTTTTTTTTTTTTTTAATCTGCTTTTAAGCCAATTCAAAGTTTAAAAAGAGAAAACTGGGGTGTCAGTTCTGGAGTCAAATAAAGCATCAGTCGGTCTTAATCAAGCTTTGCTATTTGTGGATCAGTTTATAGAGGAATTATATTTTTTCTTGAGAAAGAAAACATAAAAAATCAATTACAGACATGAAATCAGTTAACATTCAGATGTATTTCTCAGATCAGGAGAATTATTTCCCTCCCTTACCATAATGGGTTCTTTTTTAGGAATGAGATATGACATATCTAAGGGCTTTCTTCAGAGCCTCATACATTGGCATACTTTTCATACATTCATTTATGTCACTGGCAGTAATCATAAACACTCCCCTAGACTTCCAAAGAAAGGTAATTACATATTAACATATTCCAGATCATAAGAAAGGACAACAGTTGTTACTACCAAATAGGCAACTACCAACAGCCAAATCACTGTAGTCCTGGTGATTAACAATTTTGATTTTGAGAATTTATAGTACAGAAGTACTGTTCCAATTAGAAATTACACTTTTTTTGATTAATTTTTGCTTATGCTTGTTATACAGTAGTCCTAGACCATTGTAAATTCATGGTTCATTTCTTGTGCAAAGTTGCAATGTAATTTGCAACAAGTATAGGGCAGATTTGCAGTAAATGTATGAAAAATTATTTAATGCAAAAAAATATTGTGGGGATCCTCTAAAGTTTTGCCCCCTCCAACAGAGGATGTTGTGGGGCCTAAATAACTGCCTTGCTTCTGTAGAGGATTTTTTAAGATAAACAGGCTTATATCTACGTTACACAAGAGGAAGACCATGAATATTCTCACTTTTCCATAATCTGCAGATTAAAAAGCATGAATTAAAATACTTTGTAAGATTTTCACTGTGAAGTTACTGTAGAAAGTGATGAATCTTAAGAACTAGTTAGCGAATAATCGCTTAAGTTCGTGTGCCAAGAAACGACAAGATGGAAGGATAACTAACCCTTTATTATTCCAAACTAAGATTTAACAAAACTCCATCTTGGAGTGTACAATCAAAGCCGACACTCGGGCATGAACTTAAGAGACTAAGAATTAAAACTAAAAGTAAGATTAACTAAAGAATAAAGCCGAAGCTATCAAGTTTCTAATGCAGTTGGCCCCTTAAACACCAGATGACTGCGAAGCTATCAAGGGCTGAGTACGGCCGAGTGTAATAACAGCTTTGACAGAGAGAGTGGCCAAAAGGCAGATGCACATAAATCAGAAACTGATTCTCTCTCGCTACGACCAAAGAACTTCGCGGTTAAATACCGCTCTTCCTCATTATGTATTCAGACGTGATTCTAAAACTACGTTCTGGCTGGAAGTAGTAAGTTGAAGTTAAGAATTTGACAGGAAAGGAACTTTAACTTAAAATTTAACTGTTAATAAAATTAACATAATCCTTACAACTTAAACAAAATCTTTTTATAGTCCATGGTTTTAGGTAAACTCTCTCTCCCCCTCACTCACACACACATAAAATAAATAAACAGGGGGGACTCTACAAATGCTAAATGTAATAAAAAACATTTAGTTTCAAATAAGTTAAACTGTTATTAGTGAAGTTCTTCTCTTTAATAGTAGTACAAGTGTATCATTGTTTATTTCTTCCCCCTTTTCTTTTTTTTCTACCGTCCTGGGAAAAAAAAAAAACCACCCATGTTTCCAAATGTCTGTTTTATGTTGTAAGATTCTTTTTCAAAAATTTCAAAACAAATATGTGTATAAAATACATAAAAATTAAAATAAAGAACCATATCATGATCCCTAATATACTTCATTCATTTGACTGTAATGAAAGTGAACTTCTGAGATTGGGATGGAGTAGGCATAAAAAAATTTAATTCAAAGCATTGAAAAGGGTGTAAATTTTTTTTACCTTTTGATGGATGGTATTGGGATGGGAAGACATGGACCATTCTTATTTCATCAATAATAAACACTAAAATTATTAGTGCTACTTAACAGAACTTTTTCTTCACTATATTTATTATTTTTAAAATCTTGTTGAAGAATTTATTATGCCAAATAAAAAAACAATAAAAATGTAGCTTACGCAGTATCAGTCCACTTCCTATAACATTATCAATTATGCTCTTAAGAAAGGCTATAATTTGACACCTGTTAAAAAAATGACACAATGAAATCAATCAATTTATATGCATTTCATGAACATTTTTACATAATTTTTTGAAGTTTTTACATATTTTTTAATTTGTATTAAAAAAAAAGATGTTAAGAAGCTGATTTTGTCAAAGAATAGTAATTTTCAAAGTCAGAAAACATAATTAAGCTTAGCTCTCATTTTATCATATTTAAATTTCACTTTAAAATGAAAATAAAAATTGATTGCTTATATAAATTTAATATGGAAAAAGTAGTTCTTTATAAAAATAATTTATGATAAAAGAAATAATGGTGTAATAAATAATGCCTTCTTAACTGAGTGAGATAATTTAGTTTACTTCAAATTTGAATAACATGACACAGAAATAAGAAAGACACTAAATTATTTTCATAAAAGTCATCAGACTTTTCATGGTCACACTCTTACTGATGGGTGCAAAATGTGATGGCAAAAATAGAAGTTATCCATGATCAAACAGTGTTTCACTCAGCCCCCATTTTTTTTAGGTTCCTATACTGCAATAGGGGGAAAAAAAAAGTTTTTAATTTATTCTTTCTTAAAATGGTGCATTACAGTACTGTAAAACACAAGTATTCCATCTTTTATGCTCTGTCATCTTTAGAAAACTTTGTTATTTTAAAGAATGCTCTGCAACCTTTAGATACTTGTGCTAAAAATGCCAGAATCCCTTACTTTAATTTTAGATTCATAATTCTCAAAAATGGTTTTGTAATCTTTTTCATCCATATTTCATAAACAAGTATACTACAATGTTATTATAACTTTGCATTACAGTTTATTTGTTACAATTTGCATTACACAGTATTTAATACTGGTGTTGCTTTTCTTTGCTTAATTATCAGCTAAAAGTGACTATATACACATGTTGCACAAATATCGTACCAATATAAAGTTTGCTATTATTTGTAGTAAACCCTAAAATGCATTTACTTTTAGGTATGGGGGCAGTATGGTATATAGAAAACAGATAATGAATTCATTTTGCCAAACAGATAATATGTACTGCTAAAACTAAAAATATTTTTTAAAAAATGTATGTTTGTATGTAATATATTAACAAAACAAATATCAAGTTGTTTTTAAAGATTGTAATAGAATTTTCGATTAAAAATATATTTTATAAAAAATTAAAAATATCACTTATATTTTAAAATAAATATACTCACTTCAAAATACAAATATGAAACACACAAAATTTTTAGTCTATTTCTTTTAAATAATTCTTAGTTTAGTAGATAGATTTAAGTAAATAAGTAACTACTACTAAATGGACAAGAATTCTCATCTTTTACAAGATTAACTTTATGCAGGTTTAAGATATACTGCTTTGTGTTTATATTAAATTAGGGGAAAACTATGTAAATAATCCTATGAAGCCAAATTTTTCTGGCAGTGCCAGAATATGAAATTATCATAAAACTTTCAGTATTTGGTAATTTTATCATGGATGTTTCATCTCTTACAATATGGAAACTATTGCATATACATTACTCTACTTCATTATATATATTTTTAATTGAAACATAAAAAACGTGCCAGCCGCTGTCTGGTACTGATTTTGCTGTACCAAACAGGACAATCTCCGATGTCCTTTTATTTATGCCCAATACTTTGGCATCTACTGTTAGTTTCACCGTCATTTATCCTTTTTGCATAAATACTAGCAATTATGCAAATACATCATTTAAAAAAAAACTACCACTCATGCAGTTTCAGAGATTCTAATTCCAACTCTTTGGGCCATTACAATCTGCCTTCTAGCAAATTCGTTTAAGATCAGCAGCCTTTCCTATTACTTGCAAAAGTAAGTGCAAGAATGATTCCTTACCTTCTCCAGCAACAGTTAACCATTCCCACTCAATAACATGCCCTCCACGTCATCCAGATGAGTTCTTTGATATACATGGGGATGGTCATAATGTTTTGGCTTGTCAGTGTATAATTTTTAATTTGCAATAAAATCCTATCAGTCATAAATAAATGTGGTTCCAAATTAATGATGCATAAAATCTTTCATTTCTCTCTGATATTAAAAAAAATGCATTATTCATTACTGTGTATGTTAGTCTTTTTTTCTGGACCTGTTAACATCTTGCAACATGTGTTGTTTACATTATGAACGTTACAATACAATACATTTCCAATGCCCAAAAACAGGTCAAATTTTATTTCTTCTGTACATTATTGACTGAAATAAAATCTAAATGTTATGATAGAATTTTGGTGTTAACATATAGATTTCAAGTCTCCACATTTTCTCAATTTTTTATTTTATTCAAATGGTAATATACTTTTTAATACCTTAATATCTTTCTGTTTATACCATTTTATGAACAGAAAAGAAATGCTGGAAACATTCCTTTTTTAGTTGCATTTTAATTTTATTATAATTTTATCAGTAGGCAATGGCATGTATTATTTAATCTTTTGTTTTCTTTTAACGTTCCAAGTTATTTTGATTAATAAAGATTATATTTTGTGACTAAACAAGATGAAGAACTATATTGAACCAGAAACTTCTTGCTTCACTCACTTTTGAAAAATAAAATATAAGGTGCTAATATTGTTTTTGTAGTTCTCTTCCTGGACTCACACAATTCATTTAACTTGTTTGGTGGGTTTTTTTTTTTTTTTTAAATATTTATTTTTCTTTCCAATTTTCACAGTGAATAAAATAGTATTTTAAAATGACAGTTATAAAACATTCAAAGAGGTGCTTATTTCAAATAATTATTGTTATCAGTGATACTCAATACAGGTATTTAAACAATGTTTTTAGAAATCTTGTCTGCTTTTAGATACAGTATTCCTGAAAGCATAATTTAAACATGAAATGTTACATTGAATTTAATGATGAAACAGATGTGGCAGTGGTGCAACTGTCTAAAGTAAGCAGAGTTCACTTATCAACATCACAGATTTGAGGGGAAAAAATTATTGTTTTGATTATGGGAAAAATTTTGCTCCATTTAACTAATTTCAATTTCATATTTTGAATATTGTTTCCTTTTTTGGGGTATTTCATGTTTTTCAAATACTGTATTTCACTGAATAATATGTTATCAGGTAATTATTCATCAATATAACTATCTTTCAGAAATTAAGCTTTTTATTCTCATATTTCCATTTTAAAATTTTTCAGATGATTTAATTTTACTGTTCATTTACTGTTACGGTCAAAAAGCAGTTTAGAACTGACATTCTTTCACAAACCAGACTTTTATGAACTTTGTGAATTTTCTAAAATGTATATCTAAAAGGAACATGTATTTGATTACTGAATATATTTCTCATTTGACATAAACATTTTCATGACCATATGAAGCAGAATAAGCATTATTAACACCAACTATGTTTACAAAATCCAGAAATATTTACAGAAACTAGGCATTTTCTGAAGCAGAATATTACCTTGAAATGCAGACTGTCCCAGATGATCCAAGATGTCTGATCTTTATTTACATTAATCTAAATTATTTTGCATTGAATTTACAAGGATGCTAAAAATATATGCTAAAATGAAAATGGGAAAAAATCATACTTTGAATACTGATCATAAAATGGAGATCTCAACAGGTAAAGAATTAAAGATAAGGCACGTCTGTTGATCTCAAACTTTTCCACTTGGTTGAAGTTCTTACTTTTCCTTAATATATTCCAGCTAATACAGAAAACCATGACAAAAGTTAAAATAAATAGATACATAAATAAAACTGATAACTTTGTGAAATTCTTATGTTAATAATATGTAATACAAGTTTTTTTAAAGAATGTCTACAGATTCCTAGAATGCTAAGCAAAGGGAACCACAAAAACCTCAGCAAATTCTAATAATGAAAAAGATTTATGCACATTTATTGGCATACATATTACAATGATTTAATGGTGTCTAAATAAATGAGGAGATTTTTTGCCATGAATGATTACACCTTTTTTTTTTTTTTTTTTTTTTCATTGTAGTTTATCGATATGAAATAACTGTGAATTTTTCCTTCACTTGGCATTATAATAATCTGGTAGATATCCTTTAAAAGATTTACAGCTAATTTCTGTAAACTTTTATTTCCCTTTGCATTATACTGCAAGGAAGTTGGTACTTAAAAATGGTTCAGCTTTTTATATTCAATATAAAATTGTTCTGATCTGTTATTTAATCAACTCAGTTCACATATGTTTTAAAATTATAATTTAAATTGAAACGTGTTAGTAAATTGTCTGGAAATGGAGATAATAGCAAGAACATCTACTAAATATGCAACATATAGTTTATTATCATAAAAGACGGTACAAAATAATTTTTTAGAGCTATTAAGGATTTGCACTACATGTTTATTCAGAAATCAAAATCAGGGAGAATACTTTAAATTTCACATTTTCACACAAAGATAATGCACAAATTGATAAAAAAAATTATTTTCTTTTAACAATACAATTTAAATCAACAGCTCTCACACACCACTGACCTTTTCTCATCCCATGTCTAGCTAACACCCAAAGTTATTCTCCTCTAGAGGTCTTTTTTTTAAATTTAAATGCCACATTTCAAATAGTTGGTAAAAATAAAACAGCATGCTATTAAGCTACACATAAATGGGTTTATTACATTAAAAATTATGAATTACTTACATGCTTATTGGTATATATTGTCTAAATTATAAACATAATTAAAAACTATTTTTGTTGAATTCACTTTGCTGATGCCTAAATTGAACTTTGGGGATCACAAGATTTCAGCCATGCATCAGCTATTCTTTACTCTGAATTTTTTGCTACAATATGAGTCTACCAATTTCAGGTTGCATAAGTTTCTCTACAATGACAAACCTTCAGGGAAGACAAACTTGCCACTGATTGAGAACCCTTGATAAACATCATTAGTAGAAAAACAGTTTTTAAGCTATCAAATCAATTATGATTAAGAATATTACATAGTACAAAAATTATATGGAATTTGAAAACTTGAAAGGAACAGCAATAGAGAAAACTATGATTTTAATAATTTCAGTACCTAAGAAAGCTATTAAAATGATCTTTTAGCTTAAATATGGTACCAGCTTGAAGCACAATGAAAATTTATTTCTCCTATCCGCAGATTCTGTTCTCAGCTTTATTCATTTAGAAAACCAATTATATCGTTGATGTTGATGAAACTTGCATTCAACTATAAGTTTCTTAAATGGTGAATTTATTCAGTGGCTGTTTTCGATAAAATACAGGGTGTTTATAAAGTCCCGGACCCATTTTGATGTAACTTCTGATGATTCTTCCATTTTGATAACTCATAAAATAATAAAGATAGATTAAAATTAATAACATAAATGATTAGATAGACTCAAAAAGTTTCATGACCCTTGTCAATGATACTTCACATGTGCTCCTTTCGTTGCACGGAGAATATCAAGTCGATATTCAATTTCACGCCAGGTGACGGCATGCATGTCGCCATCCACAGAGGCTATTGCGGTTGTAATTCGGGCTTTTAGGTCATCAATGTTGGACACTCTCCTCCTGTAAACATTGTCCTTTACAAATCCCCATAAGAAAAAAAATCCAGCAGAGTTGTTATATCAGGTGATCTGGGTGGCCAAGGAATTGGACCTCCTCGCCCAATCCATCTTCCTGTAGAATGGTCATTCAAAGAACTACGAACGATGGTAACCTAATCTTGTTGCAAAAAAACATGTGGCTGAAGCTCTTCTAGTTGTGGAAATACGAAATTTTCCAACATGTCTAAGTATACAACTGATGAGACCGTCTTTTCTGCAAAAAAGAAAGGCCCAATGACTTGGTCATGCATTAGTCCCACACCACACATTAACCTTTGGGGAATCCCTTTGTACCTCACGGTATTCATGGGGGTTTTCAGATCCCCATATGTGCACATTATGGCGATTAACAATGCCAGGAAACAAAAGAGAGAAAAATGCAATTAATAAGCAGACGATATTTCGAAAAGTACAGATATTTAGACTGGAAAATGAAATTATATGAAATTAACCACACGTGCAGACGATATTTACAAAAGTAAAGATATTCAAACCTGAAAAGGAAAATATATAAGTTATTCCATCAATAAATGCCATAAATTTGTTTATATCTTCATTATTTTATGAGTTATTAAACATGAAAATGGGTCCAGGACTTTATAAACACCCTGTATTATAACATGCAACAGTGATATTACTATTATATGCAGAGAGGGAACATGATAAGAAAACAGATTACTGATAACATAAAATGTAACATCTTTCTTTACACAACTGACAAGCAAAACTTTCATGCAAAAAGTTTACTTTTATCAAAATATTCAATAACTAAGATAATCTTTTTAAAAAGCCATAAGAATAATTTAATCCACTGCAAAATCTTTTTTTTTTTTCTTTTTTTTTTCGGGGGGGGGGGAGGAAAAAATTCAAACATTTGTTCAAATGCAACTTTCTTCTGGTGAGCAAAAATGAGGTCAACTAAAATATGATGCATCACAGATTATAACTTGAAAATTACAGCATATCATAATAGTACAGCATAAAAAATGAGGTATCAAACTGAGAAATTAAATGTATCCTAAAAGTTACATCTGATATCAGACAGTTAAATTTTTCTAAAATAAACAAACAAAGCTACTATATTCTAGGGAGTTTGCAAACATTTAATAACACTTTTTTTAGGCATCTGAAGAGTTTACACGTTATGAATTTAACCACATAAAAAACACTTCTAAAATTTGCCAATATATATTTTTAATATAGTAAAAATTCCAATAATATATATACCTAAGGATGAAGGATTGTGCAGATTAGTGAAATTTTACGGATTATAGGATATTTTTCAAAACTTTGTTCACATTTTGCTCTTTATCATTTTTTCTTTAAATGAGGGTTATTTGCATGTAAATAACTAACTACATGCACTTAACATATTACAAGTTATTTAATCAAAATTTATGAAATATAAAACTATTGTTTTTTAAATATGATTATACACAAAGAAAGTAATGTAACAAAGAGATAAAACAGAAAAATCCTTTGAGGAAGTAAGGAATTCTTTTTTATAGAAACACATCAAAGAACCCATATGTAAAAAATGGGTACTTTTTTGTTAACGGGGCACCACTTTGTGCCAAACAAAAATGTTAATGGAAAACCTAACTAGATGACAGTAATCCTAACAAAACATAAAGCTTCAAGAAAAAATTAACTGGTAACAACTGTAATGTACCACATAATATATATGCATTTAATATAGTGATGCTGCATTTGTTCAATTCTCACTTTTTAAGAAGAAACAGACTGCTGCTTACATGGGGGAAGCAAAAACATCAGAGAATTGCAGAAATTCAACATTGTACATAGCCTTGGCACTATGCATATTTAACATTACAGAGCTATTTATGACATATTATAAACAGACTATCTCATTTGGCACTTTGGCACATATTTGACAACTGGCACCTCATTAATAGAAAACTACTAAAAATTGCATGTCTGTTAATAAAATTACTTTCAAATACTTTTTATGCTCTTAAACAAGAGAAAATCTAAATTAATATTTAAATGTACTGTTTAAAAAACTTAACAGTAGAGATTTTAATAAACTGAATCCAATAATATATGATAATAAATCCAATAACTGAATACATTATAATCTGCACATGCACAACTAAATTAATAACAAGCATGGTATTGCAAAAAAAAAAAGTAACAGTGATTCAAAATCTATGTTTGCAATAAAAAGGAAAGCTTATACAGATACACAAAAGCCTGACGAAGTTGAAAACTAAAGATACTTGTTGGTTATGTGGGACCTGCACATACAGTGCTGCCAAAAATACCACCTACAATTCTGATTTTTGCAAGTATTTCACAACCTCAGAAGCTGACCAGGATTCTTCTACAAAGAAAAAATATTTATTTCTTTTTCTTGTTAAAGCTCTCCCTTCTTTTGGTGGGAGATTTACTTTTCTTTTTAAAACTTCAATTTCTTCTTTGATTCAGAGACTGGCATTCAGATGCAAACAATGGAACATTTATGAGATTTATCAAAATGGGAAGCTAAGGGCAACATGTATATATATAGCTCATCATCACTTGTCTTGAATGCAATCACCAAACAATGCCTGATGAAATTCAAAAACCCACATTTCATCACAAAATTTTCCCAATCCATTGTTCATAATACAGGGACCAAATAACTAACAAGTACTAAAAAATTACTAGAAATGAAATTTCCTATGATGAATTTATTTAAATTCAAAATTCTGTATGTTTGCACTCAAAATTGAGTGCATATTACACACATCTGCAGATTAAATGGTCACAGATTAGCAGAATACTAAAGCACTTGAAACATATTTGAATTTTGAATAGAATAAAAGATTCAATTCAAAATCTGTGTACCATAAAGCAATAGATATAAATATTTTTACCTTGTGGCATCCATTCCAAATGCTATGAGCCAAGGTTTCCAAGAAAATTCTCCAAATGCTTGGAGTGACAATACTATAAATTTGTTGTTAAGGTAGCTCCCTCAAAAAATGTCTCCTTAAAATTGTAAAACACAATAATGCTCAATATAATATTCAGAATAATAAAATTAAACTAATACCAGAATAAAAGATGACCTCATTTTTGTTTTTGGAATTTCTGAGGTAATGGATTATGAACCTTTTCAGCATTACAGACATAAATTCCATATGGAAGGATATCTTTCAAATTCATTACACATGAAAATTTCTGACAGTTTTTAATGCATCCAGTTCCAGGCTGGATGTATATTGGAAGAAAATGAATCAAGGTACAAAGTGAAAGAGCTGTTTTTCAATTATAACTAAGAAATTATCATTCATTCACGACATTTTGAGAAAACTTAAAATTTCAGAGCTAAACCCATAATGCTCAGAGAGATAAATTTTTAAGTAGCTTGTATTAGAAATTTTATATGCATTTTCTAGAGATTTTAGGATTATTTCTTTAAAAAATATTTAAAAATACTAAAATATTCATATACAATAAAACCTCTCAACCTCTTGAAGTAAGCAGTACTTCTAAATGATGCCCTACAATCTATTTCTCTAACAATTGATGTTGAACATGACTCTTCATGATGCAAATATCAATACCAAAATTACTAATACCAAAATTGTATGGAACATGTGTGACCATCTAGCTTAATGTATTTCTTTTAGGAAGTATACAAATCAGTCCACCCCACTTAATTGTCCTTAGCTTATGCCTCAAACAAATGGATGGAGAAATGTAAATCAGCATTAAAAAGTAGTGACAAAATACAATCATTTTTTGATTCCGCTGATAAATACACCAAGATATGTTACTACTATTTGTAAGACAGTTTTCAAATTCTGCCTTTTCTACTATATTTTTCTGTTAAGGAAGCTAAAGGCTGAACTTACATGAAAATATATATATATATATATATATATATATATATATATGATTTTTATCAGAATCCATATATTCATTGTAGATTCTTGATATGGCGGTTTGGGATATAGAGCCCCCATCTAGTCTAGTCCCAACAATCTGGTTGTAATCTTAAGTTTTACTCAGCAGCAACTGTAACATTTTTCTTCACGTACGTTCATACAGGGTTCATGGATTTGGAGTGAGTAACAACAATACTTGATGAAGTATCAAAACACACTTTATTGGCCGGTATTATTCAAGACAGCTCCAAAAACATGTTTTACCTCATCGAAGAACTACTATAAACGGTAATGTTCACTGTTATGCCACTCAGAGAATGCTGTTTAGGCTTACAAATAGTGTTTTACTATAAAAAATACATTATATTTATATTATATTGACTTCCCTAAGAGAGCTGATAATACTTAATTCTAATTGAAGCCAATACTTCAGCAATCTACAAAAATAATCATTTTATTTACAAAGCAACTTGGATTGCATTGATGGTTCACTACTTACTACATCACAAACTGAACTAACTAACATTCTTTTCTCAGAAGAGAAGCGCCCTCCAACGGCGATATAGAAATCTTTTGTAGGGTTTTTCCACACAAAACACCTGATAATTTTTGCAAAAATTATCACTATTTCAGCATACAAAATAACTCAAATGTAGGAAAGCAAGTTAAATATCAAGTACATTTACCTGATGTAAACTTAAGCAGCAGAAGGAAATTCTATAAAGCAAACAAATATAGTTAACAGCATACAATTCAAATGTTACTCAATAAGTAAATATTAATTCGAATTACAAACAGTAAATTATTAGTAAAAACTAAACTAATTATCTAAAATTGATGTTAGTGAACATGAAATATAAGAAATAAAAAAAAAAATTACGAAATTAGTTCATTTCTGTCAGATAGTTCAAGGGGGTATATCAATTGCACAGGTCTCTTAAAGTCCCCTTTTTTAGTTATTATCACACATGATCATACAAGACCATCACATCCTTTAAAACTTGAATACTCACCTAATCCCAAAGGAAGATTAGTGTTCCTTCCTTAAATAACTACATCACCAATTTAAGATTTTTTCTTGGTCTTTGGAATACCCAAAAGTGAAGAAATATTCGTCTCTCCCGGCCGCTCGCTCTCCTCCCTTTTTTCACAACGAGAAAAAAATGCTAAAGCGATGTATAGGTTTGAAAATATTCGTAAAAAACTAGCGGGCTGCAGTCAAAGCAAAATTTATAAGTTATGTGTACACCCAAAAGAGAAAACAAAACGTGTTGACGCTTCATGTCAATACATATACGTGTGACGTCATGATTTAAATTTAATATAATGTTACAGCTTATCTTGATACAAGTAAAAGAATTAACGTAGCAATAACACACCGTGTTAGTTATCCTAAGCTGAATCAAAAAGGTTGCCTACAACAGCTAATTATTTAAATTGCTGACATAAACGAAAAACGAAATATTTTCGACATACAATGACGTCACATGCAATGGCTTGTTTGCGTCAGCGTCAGAATATGATCTTACATAAAAATAATATATTTAGCGTTTGGCAGTGCTATTTTTATTTCATATTTTACAAAAGTTACAAATGTTTTAATAACAAACTCTACGATTTTAAAACGATCAGCCGCAACACTTTTCGTAAGAAAGCAGATTTTATCTCCTACTCGCGAGACTGTTGCAACTCGGAAAAATGAGTGCGCTTTCAGAGTTTTTAATTAATATCTCGACCGATTAAAGTCGTACGAAGATCAAAATGGTCGAAACGTCTTCCCATGGACTTTTGGAATTCAAGGGTACCTCTGTCAAACTCAACTATCCGCCGTTCTGTAGAAGGCAATGTCCCCCCTCCTAAAAAAACAGTCAGACAAGAACATATTTTAATAGTATATAAGGATAATTTTCTACTGTATTTTGCTAAGAAATAAAAGGAAAATACAACAGCCTAATTTATTAACAGTTGGTGATTGTATTTTGCAGCTTTCTTTTCAGTCCTTTTAGCATGATTCAAAACAAAGTTTTATTTTCAATAATACAACAATACACACCCCTAATCAAAGGGTAGGTACTGTTACCGCATATTTACTCAGTAGTGATAATCCCGGGCGGGCGTGTATAAAATAAGTTTAATGGATCTTGTACCCCGTGGAGATTAGTGAATAATAAATACAATGGAGGTTTTTACGGAAAGTAGGATATTAGCAGTGGCTCATGACTCTAAAAAGATCCTGTATCCGCATAAATACGGTATTGGCTTAAATGTAGTAGAGTAATTTGAGCGCCCCACCCCTCATAAAAGAACAATCATGGTGGCTGAAAACACGAGACTCGATATTGGAGCTATTACTGAGCAATGAGTTGGTTGATGAGGCGGCACAATCATGTCGGCGACGTCTCTGTACCAGACGGAAAGAATGGCTTTAGTCCTCCTCTCACGGTTGAATTAATTTATACAGTTTATAAAGGGAATATATATAGACATAGAATGCCCCTATATAATGCAAGAAAATTTAGATACAAAATATGTATAAATCTAGCAATCCCTCTTTATAGGGTGTAAATATATTTCCATCTCTCTTCAACATGCAAAATAATTATGTGGTTTATTTAATAATTACAATGCAGATAATAATTACGTAGTTTATTTGATAATTATATTTAATAATTATCATAGTTATTTAAAAGTTTAATTATAATGAATAATATAATAATAATAATAATATCTAATATTAAAATTATAATATTCAATAATATTAATTATTATTTAATATTGTTATGTTTATATAAAAGTTATTACTTAATAATAATTATTTAGTTTATTAATTAGTAATTAAAATAATATAACTATATTCTAATATTACATTATGCTAATTATTACATTATTACGCTTATTTAAATAATTATTCGTCCAAAAAAATTATGCAGCTTGTTTAAGCATTTGACGTGGAGCTATAAAGAAGAGTTTGTTTCTTTTGAAATCTCCTAAAAGTATACAATAGTTCTCTTGGTAAAATTATTTCTTCAAACAGCAAGATTAATAAATAAAATAAAATAAAATTCGTATTCCAAAGTTGTCATTGTTTAATCCTAAGTTATATTCAAATGAAAAAATAATCGGATTACAAAAAAGTAAGAGCATTTGGTTACCATGAAGCTAAGCATCTAACATTTTCTTGTTTATTCTTTTCTAAATCTGTGAATAAAAGTAATTTTTTTATACTCATACATTGTTGCATAAAACTTAATATATTTTCTAAACATGAAACTAAATATGCATTTATAATGCTAGTTGTCGTTAACCAAGTTTAAGTGAGACACTTTTTTTTAAAAAATGATACATCAAAAAATGGATTATAAATTATTTTCCGTATTTATTTTCAGAAGGTAAGATAATTGCCGATAAAAAATGAGCTATCGAAATGTGCGTGATTAAAATCAAAAGGGTATTGATATAATTAACGCAGTCCCTCATACATAATGAGAAATCAATGTGTAGTAATAACAAAGAGATTAAATAATATTGTAAACAATATAATGAGCAATATTATTTGATGAGATTTGAAATTCGAGACTTTAAGTCTATAAACAGGCACACTAAGAAATTGATGAAATCGTTTAGAAAATTTCAACACTTTTTTATTTACTAATTTGTACATAGTACCTTACGCAACATTCGTTCTCTTAAACGTGTTTCAGGAATTTATCAGCAGTTCATTTATTGGCACAGGAAACTGCCACTAACGAAGCACACATATCCGTTTTGCAGCTGCTATATTAAGTGTATCTCAAATTCAAACAGAACACGAGAAGGATAGCGTTGACATTAAAAATCCAAACATTTAAATAAAGCCTGAAACTTTAAAAATCTGTAACATATCTTATATGTAATGCAATAAAGTAACACTTATATATAGCATATAAAAATGTGGACTTCTGATATGGAAACACACCAGTTACCATTTACAAATTCTGAAGAATAAAAGGGGTATATACATAATACATTTGCTATCATTAATCAGTGAATAATACCTCCCTTGAGGCAGACCTGCTATTGTTTGTCCCATTTTAACCATATGGAGAAAATATTTTCCCTGAAGAATGATTTGCTTCCCATATTTACAA